TGTCTGTGAGTGCAACTGACTGAATAAGGTGTGAGGTTGTACATGAACCAGAAGTGAGGGCACCATGTTGGCCACTGATTATGGAATTGATGGAGGGGGTGAAAGCAAAAAGCAAGGTGCATTTTGAGGTTGTTCCAAGTAGCACTGACACAAAACAAGGTAGAGTCAGATTTTACTTTGCGCCAACACGTCTGTGATAAACAAAGAAATGGTAGTTCAAATGCATAGACATCACATACACATACACAATAGAACTTTTGAGATGGGTTGGAGTGAGCACTTGTCATGGAGGTTCAAAAGGTACATCAAGAGGTTTGCCCAGTCAGCCCAACATGCCATACACAGGGCACTGTAACAAACCTCAGGTGCTGCATGCAACACACAACACCAACAACTTACTTCCTTCTTTTTCCCCTCCTGAGCAGCTCAGGATCAGGCAGTTCTTCAGTGCAGGTTGGGCTATGGTGACTGGAGTCTTTGTCCAGATCAGGCCAGTCTTTCCACATGCTAAGAAGCCATGACCAGAGCGCAGGTCTCATCTGGTTGTTGAGATCCAGTGAAACATCTGCACACATGAGGGAATTGTAGGAGACAGAGGTGGGTGGGTCAGCAGTTAAGTGGTAGGACCCATCCATTGCTTCATCCAGCCAGTCTAGGAAGATGCATGCACAGGTAGTGCAACTGACCACACCAAGCCACACAGCTCCTTTCTCACCAGCAATTGCCACAATGGCTCCATCATCTGGCTTCACTGATGTCAGCTCAAGTGTAGCACTTCCAGTGAGACTGATGGAAGCATTGATGGGCCGATCCAATGGCTCCAGGTCAGAGAGAAGGTCATTCTGAGCATGTTTGTACCCATAAACCCAGCCAAATGGGTCACTGGTGAGCTGCTCTAGAGGTGGCCTATTGAAGAGGGAGACAAGATCCTGGTAGGATTTCTTCATGGCCTGGGCATTGTTGAGCTCAGTGAGGGCAGAGAGGGTATCCTTGAGGATGGTGGTATCAAGCTGAGCCAGGAGAAGAGGAAGGGGAGAGTCAGAGGGACAGAGGTTGAGGAAGGAATAGGGACCCATCCATGGAGAGGCAGAGGAATGGTAGTCCTTCATGAACATCTGCACATCTTCTTCATGACAGGAGAAGCAGAAGACATGAGGCCTGGAGGTTCCCTGAACACCACAGATATAGGGATCCAGCCAGGATTTGATAGCCCAGCACTCAAGAAGGAATATAGGCTCAGGGCAAAGGTGGGGTGCAGAATACCAGTCCTGCAGACCTTGCTTGAAAGCCTCAACAGTCAGGACCCATGGATTATACTTCATGCCAATCACAAAGGTTGAGAACATCTGGTCAATATCCTCATGGGTGTGTCCCACAGGCAGGAAGGATATGGTGATTGATCAAAACACCTTGTTGAACACCAGCCAGTGGCAGTAGGCCAGCATGTACTTGTTCTTGTTCTCCCAGCTGCAGTTGTCAAACTGTAGGTAGAGAGTCAACAGACAAAGTCCTGCTGCAGGAATAGCTAAGTGAAGGGTGAGGTGATGGTGCAGCAGAGACACTGCAAAGTCAGGACCACAGCCAAACTGGCCCTGGTGTAGGTACAGGGAGCGGCGGTGAAGGCCATGGTTGATAAATCCATGAATGCCAAGCTTGTAGAGGTGAAGGTCTTTCCAGGCCAAGGGCAGAGGCACTAGGAGAGGTAGAATGACATCAGTCAAACCATCCATGATAATCAACAAGTCACACCAGGATCAGCAACAGCCTCCTGTTGGTGGAGGTGATAAGCTTTCCACTCCACCTCAACAAGCTTGAGGTGATCCAGCTTCCACTGCTTCAGCTGCACCCACTCTCTTGTGCTCATCATCCAGTTGGTGAGGGTGTCATTTGTTGAGGCACAGATATTGCACTGCCCAAGGACGCAGAACCAAGGGAACTTGATGTGCCTGTGTTCACCTTTGAACATCTTACAGAAGTGAGTGAGACTCAACAGCTTTGCCTGGGTGAAGTGCTGGGCTTTCAAGGCATCCAAGTATTTCCAGTAGAGGTGATCCTTGGTCATGATCATCAGCATGTAGACAGAGGTCGAGTTGGGAGCATGACAGCCATACTGGAGTAAGGGAGAAGGTGAGCAAAACAGGTGATGAGTATCACATACACAAACATGATAAAAACACTGGTGATTTATGGTAGTTGTGAGCATGATTAATGAGTATATTCTATCACATACACATACACAATAGATAAGGGAAGTAATACCATGTTGGTGTACATGGTTATCCATGCACTGGCCCAAGCCATAGTGTCCATGGAGGTCCTTCCAGTTCAAAGAGTATCCACAATGGAGAAGTTGGCCATTTTGTTCTCAGAGATTCCATAAGCAAGCATGAACACCTGCCTGCAAACACACTACTGGCATAGTGAGGAAGCTATCTCCAATGAGCTGTAGTATGGACAATACCTGATGATGTAAATGGTAGAGTCAACAGTGGAGTGGTTGGTTCTCCATCAATGTCCTCAGCCATTGGCATGAAGCTGCCTGGGTCATGCTGAGATATCAGATGTGGCATGCTCATATCTGTGATACATCAAACTTGCACAGACAGAGCACAGAACAGCAGGGACTTGCAATGATCCAATTAAAGTCCAATGCCTCAACTGTTGAAAGCACTTTCGCTGCTGGCTGTGGTGTACAGCAGTCCACTGAATCCATGATCTGCTGGCTGGATGTAGCCAGCTGACCAGTATCATCACCACACACATCCAGAATGAGGGATAAAGGAATCTCAAGTACTGGTGTCACAGTGAGATCACTTAGATCCTCAGAATCACTCCCCAAGTGTGTGTCAGGGATGTCATATCCATTTTCAAAAAAAGGGTCAAAATGCCTGTAAGAAAAAAGAGATGATTTCAGACAGGATAGTTATCACATACACATACACAACGATTTTGTGCATGCAAGTGGAGAAATGAAAATGATGTAAACATAGTTAAATCATCACATACGCATATGCAATGATAAAATAGGAATTACAACTACATGTTACATATTGTCATGATAAATAGATTTTCACTGGTACATCAAAATTTTGATAAAGAAGGTCAAGAATTACAGGAAAAATCAAAAAGAAGTATGGGACAAACCAGGTATCACCATCCAATGCTTCCATGGGTGAGCAGTTGAGAGATGTGGTGGGGTGAGAGGGTAGGATAAGAATTGAAGTTAGTGTCAACACAAACCAGTCTACCATCTAACCAGCAGCCAATGACATCTCGCCCATGAAGACAGTGAAATTTCAGAGTGGGCTGTCACCATTGGTGGCCTTGAGCCTAACACTTTTTAAGAAATGTCTGCAAAAAATCTCATTGGTTGAGCATAGTCCTTTTAAGGCTGAACATGGTACAATGGTCATTATTCTTTTCCAACCTACACACAACAACATGAGCAACAACCTTACCCAGTCCACAAGCAGCATTCCATCCAGGGTAATGACCTGCCACAACACAGCTGAGCTTGCCAAGTGGATGGTCAAGCAACCAGAGTGGAAGAAGCAGAAGGAGAGCAACCTCAAGAAGAAGAGCCTCAGCAAACTTCAAAACATGTGCACAGTACATCAATAGCACAGTTTGTTTAATGAAAGTAGTGTGATTTAATGGAATCATGTGTCTTCCACTTCATAATTACTTCACAAGTGTGGCAGAGGTGGAGAAGAACAAGGCAAAACTGACTGAATTGGTACACACCATCCCATTGTGTACACATACACAATGAAATCTTATTAGCATTTATAGACACAATTTCATCATGTACACATATGCAATGAAATATCATTTTAAATACTACCAGTTGTTTAATTATACTCCATACTTCCATTCTATTCTACAATATTGACTCTTATAATCAATTATAACCACCATTTTATATAAGTAATATATCATGTACACATACACAATAGAATAACTGATATATTCTCATCAATGAAGCTCATTCTTGACTCTCAGCAGACCATACCTGAGACTCAAGAGTAAGAAGCCAAAAAAAATAGCACCACTGGAGCCAGCTCCACCACAGAGATGTCACAAGATTTGCTCAGAGCACCTGAGGTAAGTGTGTTTGATTTCTAATGAAATGTAGTCCTTTATAAATCTCACTAATCCTGTACTTTCTTCAGGTTGATGCAACAGCCCAAACAACATCTGCCAGCAAGGAGCAAGTAACCCTGCCAACTGCCATGGTGACTGATGAGGAGCTGTTGAAGCTCCTGAAGGAGGTATGCTTTTCATGCTGTTTGTGAAGCCAATTATGCACCACAACTGCAGGACATTCTATCACATACACATACACAATAGAATGTTTGCTAATTCATCTCCTCCTAGCCACAGAAGAGGAGCTCTCCATGCCTCCTGAGGAGGCCCTCCTCAAGCGTTATGGTGTCCTCTGTGTGGATCACATGAAGATGAACACTGCAACAATTGACATTGACCAAATGACAAAGAGTGGCACTCATCAGTTGGTGACCACTAGAGGACACAGAGTTCTCTCAACATCAATGAACAAGATGGGCGTTCTGACAATGGAGTGTCTGCTTGTTCAAGAGCTGCCTCCCTCTCAGTGCATCCTCAAAGATGGGATGCCTGAGTACTGCATCATCAACAGCAATCATCATGTTCAGACTGCACAGCAGCTTTTCCCAGGAAGTGGTGTTGTGACATTGTTGATGTACATTTTTCTTTTTCTGACTCACTTTGATGATGTCCCTGCTCCAACTAATACCCTTTCTCCATTTCCAGAACAAGGTCTCAGAAGACAACATTCACATCCTCACATGGGGCCAGAACCACATGCACAACAAGGCTGCAGTTCACAAGGATGAGTGGGAGGACTTCTTCCAGTACCATGACACCCTACACACCAACAAGTTCTGGACCACTACTCAAGGTGAGCAAGCCATTGACTGGAAGAAGCTCATCAGCTCAATGGTACATTTCATCACATACACATACACAACAGAAAATTACAAACTTCCAAACACTTTCTAACTCCACTATTTCATGCAGCCTGAGGCTCAGAAGCTCAACTAGGCAGAACAGAGGAAGCTACAAGAAAATCTGTGCAACTACACCAGCATCATGAAGAAGTTCCTCAATGTCAACAGTTGGCCCAAGAGTGCCGCCTACCTCAAGAATTTGTATGCCAAATCTGAAGAACCCATGCCAATCACGCCCCTCTATCCTCACAATCACTTGATTTCCAATCCAATTCTGCTTCATGTCCTCAAGCACATCTCAACTGAACAGCACAAGCAGATCCAAGCAGGCAACAAGTACAAGATCAGCAAGAACGGTATGCTCCCCACCAGTATTTCTTATAACTATCCCATTGTGCTGACTGTACTCTCTTCCAGCCTTCAAGGAGCTCCTCATTGCCTGCCAGAGACATGTCAAGTTCCTGAGCAAGGCAAGAAAGTTGGCTACACACCTCATGGATAGGGACTTCATCCACCTCAAGAACAAGGTGGCTACTGGAGAGTGGGTATTCTCCTTTTGCATAGTTCTTTCATTGTGTATGTGTACATGATGAATTGTAGTCAATATATGCTCCATTATTTTCATTGTGTATGTGTATGCAATGAATTGCAGTCAATATATGCCAATAACATCCACTCCAAGAGTGCTGGTGGGGTCCAACACAATGGTACATTGCATCACATACACATACACAATGACTTATTGCTCTTCATTACCCCTTCCACAGCTTACTCCTTTTTAGAAATATGCTGACAACTCATCACATACGTGTACACAATACTCATGCAGGCCTCTACACCATCTTCATCAGTCAAGTGAACAAGTCCTATACCTTCAATCCAGAGTCACTGCTGGTCCAGGACATCACCAAGATTCCCAAGCTCATGGCCTACAAGAAGCCCTCCCTCATCAAGAGGTGGAACCTGAAGTGGGTCCACATTGCTCCTCAAGTGCATCAACTGAGTATGTATTTTGCTCATGTAACTTGGTGGCACATGCTCTTCTCACCTGCTCTCCTACCAACAATAGGTCATGTCTTCTATCAGCTTGTCCTCACTGCCTATGCCTCAAGCACCAAACCATGAAGCATTCTCAACTACACTCCACTTCATGCTACTCCACTTCATGCCTGCTTCCATCTCAACTTCAGCTACCACATCAATGGAGCTTCAGTGCAACTGAACAAAACCAAGACCAACATCATTGCAAGTGCTATTGACAGCATCCTCATTCACTCCAACCCATCCAACATTGCATCCTGGACTACAGCAGCCCATACAGTGGTGCATCAACTCACCTCATCCAGTACCTCCACTTCTTCTTGACCTTCACCCTGTTCTTCCATGGCATCAGCTCCTAGCACCCCTACACAGGTTTTCATTCACCCATGCCCTTTTTTCGTTGCATACATGTATGTGATGAAATATATCACTGACTCTCAACATCAACAGCAGTCCCAGCTCTCCACAACCCCTTGCTTGGAACCATTGCACAAGAGAAAGCATCAAGATCATGAGGATACTGACACCCACGCCCACAGACGCAGCAGTGCCCACAACGACTGCCACAAGCACAGCCATGGATCATGACACAAGTGCCACAAGAGCAGGAGCCAGAGCAGGAGCTGGAGCAGGGACAGAAGCCACAACTCTGACATTGACCAATTGCCTGACCTTGGGTCACTTTCCCCTTTCCACTCTGGTTCTGATGTGGATAGGAGTGAATACTAAACTCTGTCTTTCCAATCTTTCCAACTTTTAAAATAAACTCCTTTGTTCACTTCCCAATTCATCAAAAAAAGCTTCCTCCTCTAGACATGGTGGCGGTTGTCAATGCTCAATGACAATCACCACCATGCCAATAAAATAAAGAACACTGGCTACCCCAGTAATCCTCACATTATGCCAACCACACCAAACTAATTTGACTTTGACTGCTGGCCCTGTTACAGTATCACATCTCTCATTATGATGGAATTTTGATCTGCCATATCTCAAGATGCATCCAATTTTGTGATGTTATTGTTAACATAAAACCTTTTTTGTGTTATCAAAACCATTTTTATGAGCTTAAACTCACAAACAAAATCACTTTTCAAAATGACTGGACCTCTCATTTCAAATGACCACAAGTTATGAGGTACATGCACAGTTTGGTCACATCAGTGAAAAGAGGCTTTGGCAGATGATTGCCCACTTGGTGGACCACCATTGTTGTCCTTGTTGTTGACCACCTGGGGAATCAGCCAAGAGGTAGAGTTGATGCTGTTGCCATCTTCCTCCCCACAGGAACAGCTCGCCCAGCACTCCAGCCCAGGGGCTGGTACCTTTCTCATTGGCTTACACACACTCTTGGTGAGCAGACAAGTGTCACATGGAGTGAGGGTAGCACTGTTGACAAGCTGGAGGTCCTCCAACACCCCCCTAGTCAATATCTCAGCCAGGCACCTATGATGGGAACACCTCTGAGAGAGATGATCTGAAGCTGTGGCCCTCAACATGATGCCCTCACAACCTAGGATCAAAAGTCAATCTCTGCCAACCTCTTCACACTCACCATAGGACCAATAGCATGGGTGTCAAAGTAACAGAAAAGTATCACTACCTCATCACACAAAGCAGAACTCTACACTATGTCAATGGCACCCATGCAAGTGATCTAATGTCAATTTTTCAAACCTCCAATGCCAATGAGTCTAGTGATCCTCATCTTCTGTGACAGCCAGAGCGCCCTAGCTGTCACCAAGTGAGAAGAGTGGACTTCAAATACAATACCCTTACACCACAAGGAGTGTATTCCTCTTCCTCTACCCTTCGTATTCCAACAGCCACCACTGGCCTGGTTGAAGGAGCCCTGTTGGACCCAGTGTAGTTCTGGATGCTGCAGCCCTGGGAAACTGCACTCAGTCGCAAGCTGGTTACTCACATGTGCGTGCGTCGTGTGTGTCGTGCGTGTTGTGCGTGTCATGCGTGTCGTGAACCTGGTTGTTGCCCTGGTTGGTGGCGTTGACCCAGAAGTTGGTGGACACCATGTTACTGGTGAAGGCGCTGCGGTCCTCGCCGCTCACATCGCAGATCTGGCTGGTGTGCAGCCTTCTTCTGCGACGGCAGGTGCCTGCAATCAGAGATTATTTGCTATTTGTTATTGTTGTGGTGTGATATACCTGGACGCTGGGTGATGACATCAGCAAAAATAGGAATTTATATGGGGTTGTGCAACAGGTCCCAGTAGTACAACGGAATTGCGCAATTTCACAACTATTGTAGTTGAAGGGCCGCAGTCTGTCAAGCGAAAGCCCACCTCGTCACGGAGCCACATGCCTACCACAAGGGCGCAAGGAATCGGCACGGTCCTCCTTACCCTGGCCATGGTGCTGGCCTTTGGCGGTCGGCCTGCTTCGGCTCAGGGCAGCTGCGGCCTCCTGGCGACGAACACGCAACCAGATGGAGGGAGGTTCCAGGTGTCCTCTGTGGCACAGGAGCTTACCACAACTGAAGACTGTTATGTGCGCTCGTTCTCAATCGCCATAGATGCCTGTACGTGGCTTTCGTCTTATGAGTGCCGCACCAGACAGAAAACAGCGTATGTGCTGACATCACATTGCCGCGCATTCCTCCCAGCTGTACCACTCGCCGTCTGGCGGCGGTCCTTTTTCTACACCGAGCTGGACAATCAAACGCAACTGCCCAACTCCACGTTCAACGTCAACGCGCCCGCAGAAACTGGTGGTGTGTACACCTTCTACTCAACTTCGCCCTCTGGCATCCAGCTCTTCAGCAACACCACCTACTGGCTCCTCCTCGACATGTCCATCCCACAGCCAGTGACCTCCTCCCAAGAAGTGCCTCCCAGCAACTCCGGCGCACCCATAGCACTGGGCGTTTACTACTACTTTTGGTCAGGTTGGACCTCGAGTGACGTGGCCGCCAAGGTCAACATCACGGGTTGTCCTGGCCGCATCCCTCCCCCTTCGCCATCGCCCTCAGCGTCCCCCAGCTGCGCTCCGGCGGTGTCGCCCGTGGCCAAGGTGCGCTCCGACATCGATGACAACGACCCCATCGCCTCGCTCTTCAAGGACAGCGAGAGACCCGGTACGCATATATGATGCCTCCCCCAGTGTGAGGGTTTAGTTCCGATGAAAAAGTACGCCAAGCAGGCATGCCCTCCCCACTTCTCAACCTCTCTCGACAATAGGCAAAAACGACGTGGTGGGGGTCAGGTCCTCATTCAAAGATCTTCAGCTGGGTCCAGAGACTGCTCCGGTTGCCATCGATGGTACGCAGAGACACGGCACACCACACGGCACGACATGCATCATGGCAAAGTCACGATCCTCTTTCGGCGACTGGAACCAACAAGGTTGCGTGAACTTCAGCGTTTGTCGTCCGCACGGAAAACAGCACCACGGAAGCCGGAGATGTGCTCACGACCACCTACTACACGGCGGGACTGGCCGACAACACGACCTCTCTTGAGCAGGCGTTCGCCTTCTACGATCACCCCACCGACAGCCAGTTCAATGCCACCCTCTTCACCATCGGCGCCAATTCTGTCAAGTGGTCGGTCAACCTCACCGTCAGCACTGCGGTGCCGACCAACAACACCGACGGCCCCGACAACCGCACCATGTCCGAACCAGCCGGTGACACGCCGCTGACCATCCGCTACGGGCTGGCGGCGTTGAGCTCCTCGGTCTCGGCATCGCTCAGTCGCAACGGGCAAGTGATCCGCCGGGGCGGCGAACCGCAGGCAGGAATGACGACCTACTACGTGCCCCTGCTCGACGACACCGTCACGGCTTCGTCGTCGTCGCATTCCTCTTCTTTGCTGGTGGCCAAGGTGGAAGTGCTCGATTTGGCGCTGGTCGATGGCGCGTGGGTTCCTCTGCTCAGTCACGACGTGGTGCTGGCCAATTCGTCGGCGGGTTACTTGCCCGAGTATGTGCTGGTGCTCGAGTTCCCGCCGTTCAACCGCTCGCTCTACTACGACCCATCGGTCAGCCTGGGCGTCCTCCTCTCCCGCGATGGCTCCGGCGACACGTCCAGCGATCTGGCCCTCATCGTGGCAACCTCGGTGGCGATCCCCCTGGCCGTTCTGTTCGTGGTCGCGGTGGCTGTTGCGGGTGTGACATTCCTTGCTTGGCGCAAGAAGCAAGCACGTGGACACCTGCAAAGGCGTATGGCTCAGCTCCGCAGTGATGTGTAAAAGAAAGGCTTGTTTTGTTCCCCATGCCTTCTCACAAAGCTCAAGGCTGAGAATACATGTGACTACTCTTGACTCAGGGGGGAGTGTTGGATGTTCACTGTCTTCTCACTATTCTACCTCTCTCCTCTTTCCCTTTCTTTTATTTCTCTTTTTCTCTGTGCGTCTTACAACCACTTCATCACTTTGTCCTCCAACAAAGTGCAAACAAGGCGACAGAGCTCATGATTTGGGGAGGGGCTGCTCGGAGATGGTGGAACAGTTGGCGGCCCAGTGGGGCGGGGTGACGGTGAGGGTGATGGCGATGTGGCCGCAGAGCCCCGCGTGGCGCCGCTCCAGGCCGGGCGTGTTGCGCTCCTCCTCGCCGGGGTACAGCGGCATCACCACTGTGATCCCGCGCTGCTCCTCCTCCTTCGCGATCGTCGCGTCCTCCACCTGCAGGCCCGCCTTGCTCATCTTCCGCGTGCGCCGCTTGACCTCCTCATCGCGCTTCTTCCTGTCGTGCTCCTCTTTCTTCCTCTGTTCGCGCTCGCGCTTCTCCGTCTCCTTGCGTTCCCGCTTCTCGCGCTCCATCTCCTGGCGCTCTCGCTTGCGCGCCTCCTTCCCCTCCGCCGCGTGCGCGTTCTCGTCGTTGGCTGCGGCCGGCGCCTGCTGCTTCTGTTGTTGTGGCGGCTGCGGCTGCGGCTGCGGTTGCTTCTGGTTGGGGTGGTCCTGGTGGTCGCCAGTGCGGCCGCGCGGTTCGCTTGATGCGTCGGCGTCGGTGGAGGCGGGGTTGAGTCGCTCGAGCTCCTCGGGCGAGCCAGCCGCACGCCGGATGTTGGCGCGCATCTGCAGCCTCGCTCTCTCGTTCCGCCGCTGGGCCTGGTCCTCGTCTCTGTCCCTCTCCTCCCTGTTCCTCTCCTCCTCCTTTTCCTCTGCCTTCTCGTTCATGTCCTCCTCCTTGGCCTCCTCCTTCTCCTCCTCTTCGACCTTGACCACCTCCTCGTCGCCTCGAGCCGGCGAGCCTTCTTTCTTTTCTCTCTTTTCGTGGTCTTCGTTCTTTTCGTCATCTTCGTTCTTTTCCTCCTTCGCTTTTCTCTTGCTCACTTCGTCGTCGTCGTTGTCGCCGTCCTCAAAGTCGAGCTCCTCCAGCTCGCGCTCCTCGTCCTCGTCGCTCTCCATGTCGGTGTCGATCATCTCGCGCAGGAAGCTCCCCCGCCGGCCTCGGTTGCACAGGCGCGCGTTCTCGCGCGCCACGTCCGCGGCGTTGGCCCGCGCCAGGCCCTCGGTCGTCACGCCCGAAGCCATCGCGCGCTTGCGGCCGGCGATCACCTCCTGCTCGAGCAGGTAGACCACGGCGGGGTCGATCTCGACCCGCCCGAGGAACTCCTGGTGGTCGACCGCCACCCAGTCGTAGACCGACACCTTGAGCGGCGGGAAGAAGCGCGCGCGGAACCGGTTGTGCATCTCGGTCACCACGGTGGTGATAGCCGGGTCGCGCGGCTCCTCGGCGTGCTTCTGGTGGTGCTCCTTGACGTAGTGCTTGACCCGCGTGGGCAGCTTGGGGTTGTGATGGTGGTGCTCGTCGTCGCACTCTCCGTCGTGGTGCTTGTGCTTGTGCTTGTATTGCTTTTGGGTCTTGCGCTTGTGGCCGCCGCTGGCGCTCAGTGTGCGCTTGTCGTCGGCGGCCACGCCTACGGCGCGCACGGTGGTGAAGGCCTCGGCCTTCTTCTTCTTCCGGGTGGCCTTTCGCTTCTTCTTCCACAGCTGGAAGTGGGAGATGGCCTTGGCCACCGGGTTGCGGCGGTAGACGAAGCCCGACAGCGCGCGGCGCACCTTGTGGCCGGTGCCCTGGCGCGGGGTGAGCACGTAGCCGCTCTCCTTGCTGCCCAGCGGCCGCAGGTCCCACACGGGCGACTGGTTCTCTCTCTCAATCGTGCTCTTCCACAACGCCGGCTGGCTTCTGTGTGTGTGTGTGGTGTGTGGTGGGTGGTGTTGTGTGAGAGAGTGACGTAGAGCATTGGTGGCACAGGACTTTGCGTACCGTCCGGGAGCTTCCCGCCATCGCCACTGCTGGATGACGACGAAGGGGTTCCGGGCGCGTACGGGAAAGCCGTCCTTGTCGACGTCGGGCGGGAGCTTGTCGATCTTGACCTCCATGAGCTGTACGTGACACAGCACCTGCTCCAGTTTCTGCTCGCGGATCTCCGCTCGCACCATCTCCCTCGTTTTCTGTGGAAACAACAAATCAGTTTTGCTCGACACACACACACACACACACCGCACACGCACGCATATGTGAATGGTCTACGTACGCGTTGGATGAGTCTGTGCTTCTTCTCGAGCTCGGTCTGCTCGCGCTTGAGCGGACGGCCTTGACTGTCCTTGAGCCCACTGGCAGACGATCCGATGCCGCTCCCGCTGCGGATCCCGGTGCCCGACGACGACAGCGTCGCGGCCGACATGTCGTCGTCGCCGGTCAAGTCGGGGCCGCCGTGGCCCATCTCCGCCGACGTCGGCGCGTGGTGGTGGTGGTCGACGAGAAGCGGCAGAGCAGCGGCGGCGTCGGCGGTGGTCGGCTCGATGTGGCCCGTGGGGAGGGACACGAGGTGGAGGTAGGAGAACTCCTTGCGCATCTTGTCGTACTCGTCCTTGAGGCCGCCCCACAGCAGGTTGTAGCCCAGGATGTGCCGCACGAGGAACAGCAGGCGCCGTTCGACCAGCTGCGGCCGGTAGATCACCTTGTTCACCTTCTGCTTGAGACTCTGCAGGTATTTCTCCTGCGCATTGACGTGATGACGATGACGTCAGCATGGCACACGCACCACCGCACACGCACAGGGAGTGGAGATGAACCTCGTCGGGGTACTGGGACGCGCAGGTGGCGATGGACTTGGTGAGCGCGAAGAAGAGGTTGACGATAGTGTCGAACGCGGAGTGCTTCTCGAGCATGAGGCGGATCTCGCGCACGTCGGCCGCGTTCTTGGTCTCCGACTCAGCCGTGGCCTTCTCGATCTCGTTGCTCGTGGCCGCCCACTGTGGGTGGCCGCCGCCGGCGGCCGCGTCGGCCACCGCGTGCACCAGGCCCTCGGCCAGAATCGCCGTCTGGCCGCCGCTCTCCAGGCCCAGCACCGGCTGCTGGGCCTTGGGCGGGCTTCGCGCCCAGGGGCCGAACTGCTGGTAGGCCAGCCCGAACACGCGCACGCCCTTGGCCCGCTCGACCCGGATCTTGGCGTCCATGTTCTCGGTGACCAGCGGGGTCAAGAACTGCGCGCATCGTGCGTGCAACGCCGCTGCGACACGTTCACTCGCATTAGCCGCGTTGCACAAGTGAAAAAGATCGAAAAAGAACGAAAACGAAGAAAGAGAGGGGGAGTATACCGGATTGGGGATGTCGCTTGAGGAGGCGGAGAAGGATCTCGATGACGGGGAGGGAGAGGAAGGTCTCCTGAATCTCCTCCTTGCCGCCGAAGACCACCACGCGGTCCCACAGAAGATTGAGCTGTTCCACGCACTCGACCATCTCGCCCACATGGCATACTGCGGTCGTCGTCCTGTTAGTGTTGGTGTTGGTGTTGACCGTCTCTGTGCTGCCGCTTTGCATCATCGGCTCCAGGCTCGCCGAGAGGGCGTCGTCGTCAGTCCGCTCCGAGATGTTGCTTCCGCTCCGGCTCACCATCATCTTCTCCTTTCCCTTGTCGTCGTGGTCGGTCGTCCTGGTCCTGGCGCCGATGCCGCTGCCACTGCCGCCGATGCCGCTGCCGCCGCGGCCCGCGCTGCTCTCCCGGAGAACGGTGACGGCGACGGTGCCGTCGGCCTTTCGTCGCGTGTGTCGGCGTCGCATGGGGTGGGCCTGGGTCAGGTGGTCCTCAATGAGGTGCAGCAGCTGCAGCGTCCGCCCCCGCAGCTCCTCCTTCTCCCTCTTGCGCCTTTCGGCCGGCGACTCTCGGTCCCGTGTCCCGAACATTGTGGTGGCCCACTGGCACTCTGCTTCTAGCTTCTAGCTTCTTCTTCTCCTCCTCCTTTTTCTACTACTTGGTGTCAGTGACTAGTTTTGGCCTTCTTCCTGCTCGCTCTCGGCTATTGTCTATCTTCTCCACTGCGCAACCTTCACTGTCTTCTTGCTTCTCTCTGGCTTGCACCTTCTGTCAATCAATATGCAGGGAGGCGGAGAAGTGCAACCTCGGTGGTGGTGGTAGCTTACCTTTGGGGGGGATTCCAATCCGCGCCTCGGCCCGAGGGGAAGAGCAGGCCACCGGATTGTCGCTCGCCCTGCGCGCAAGTCCAGCTGCTTCTTTTCGGCCGCTTTTCTCTTGAATCTCCGGCTCATCCACTTTTTCTTGTTATTTTCCACTCTTTTTCCTGTGGAGCGCGAGGCCTGGTCACACGTTTGCTTTTGGCTTTTGGCGTGGGAGGGATCAGTAGCGAATGAGCTTGAACACCTCCGAGTTGTGCGGGTCGGTGGCGTAGGCCAGTCGCTGTTTGACCTGCACATTGTTGCCACGGTGTTGGTACATGCGAGTTGGAACCCATCAGCTAGGGAAGAAGGGTTTTACCTTCTTGTTGTGCCGGACCGAACGCCAGATCTGTTTGGTTTTGGTGGCAAGGGGCGGAAGCAGCAGGGAGAACAGGGTCTGCTTGGTCTGGAGCACCGTCGCAAAGGCCTTGTAGCCAAGCCTGTCACACGCACCACACACCACACACAAGCAAAGCAGTTCAGCCGACGAGCTTCGGGAAGAGGACGGAGGTCAGGCTGTAGGGGCTCACCACAACACCTCCTGGCGAGAGAGGCAGAACCGACAGTCCATCTGCTTGGCGATCCCGCACGAGGTGCGTGATTTGGCGAGCATCCACATGTACCGGACCACATCGAAGATCACGCCTGCGCGCATATGAGGGCGTTAGTAGTGGTGCATTCGAGCCCAACAGCTGGGCGGGACTGGTACCCAGGAAGAAGGCGGGGTTCTTGTCGGCGCCGCGAGGCATGGCTTTGACTTGGCAGTAGAACTTGATCGCGCACAGTGTGAAGACCTGGTAGACGTTGAGGGCCACGCCCTCCGGCTGGTTGATGCGGGAGTCGAGCAGCAGCGGGTGGCACTTGGGCTTGACCGCGTGTAGGATCCCGACCCACAGCTTCCTCCCGCCGCCACCGCTCGTGAGCTGTTCTGCGATGTCTTTGATCGACCGCATAGTCCAGCCCGAGGACACGTCAGGCGCTGCACCACGGGCCAAGGGGGAAGGCGTCATAGCGGTGCGTACATGTGCCCTCGTATCGAGTGTAGTCGGCGCGTATCTGCAGCGTCCGGGTGTTGATGAGCAGCCCGCACCACGACAAGACCGGGTCTGCACTCAATCGCCGCATCAAATGGTCAGAACCACGAGTTGATACCGTGCGGTGACTGACGTGGGGGGCGGCACCGGTGGGTGGCGGTTGCTTGGGATGCCGGTGGTGCTTGGCGGTCGAGGGCCGGTGGTTGACGTTGTTCAGCTGTTTGCCGTCGACGCTCATGTCGAAGTTGACCTGCGTCTTGAGGGTGTTGACCGTGCAACCGTGGCTCGGGTACCCCTTGTGCATGTCCAACACGAACCTTTCGAGGCCAAACGGAAAGAGTAGAGAGAGAGAGAGAGAGAAAGAGCAGCGGGTTAGACCCTGAACGCTAACGTCGGCTCAGTCCCTCAGGCGAAGTGAGCGCAACCTTTTGGCCATCGTGGCGTTGGTGGTGATGTACAGGAAATCGTCGATCAGCCGCACCAGCACCCCTGGGTGGTAAATAAGTGCCGTAAGCAAGGACAAAACTCAAGCGATGTAAAGAATGCGGGGAATGAACAACGCACGCACCCTTGGGCTTTGCCGGGTCTTCCATCGGCGTGGCACATATGGACTGAGTGGTCGAAGGCGAAGGACTGCATCCAACCACCAATCAACCCGAGTTAAAGAGTGGCGAGTCCGCTGCTAACGCGCAGACGCGCAATGGTGGTGGTGGTGGTGGTGGTGGTGGTGGTGGTGGTGGTGGTGGTGGTGGTGGTGGTGGTGGTGTGCGTACGTGTAGAAGGTAGGTAGGGAGCGACTGTCCCAGGACAGGTGCTTGAAGCAGCTGTTCTCCAAGTCCCCGTACACGAGCGAACAGAGGAGGGTGGAGAGCACCGAGCCTTGCGCAATCCCCTGGCACGGTCAAAAAAGGCGCAGGTCAGTCAGAGGGACAGACTGACTACTACTTTTGTTGGAGTGCAAGTAGCAGATGGTGTACCTTCGTCTGGCGGTAGAACCTGGGGGTGTCGTCCATACGATCCACCACCAGATTGTCGAACAGGTGTTGCTTGAGCAATTCCATCGTCTCGCTCTTGTCCATGGTGATATGCACCACCTAAAGTTGAGGCAAAGCTTCAACACGACGTAGCACACGGCACACGGCACACACGAGCACGAGACGAATCAGCTGCGCGTGCGCACCTGGTCGGTGATGATCGAGTCTTTTCGATTCTGTGCGAGGTCGCGGGCAAAGGCGTAGGCCTGGGGCAGCTCGTCCAGGGGCATCACACGCCCCTCAGGCCGGGAGACGATGCGCCGAAGGGTCGGGACCGGCATGTGGGTGATCACTCGGTAGACCAGATACTCGTCCTGGTCCTTCAGCAACTTGTCGACAACCTGACGTCATGTGTGTGCGGTGTGTGCGGTGTGTGCGTGTTGTGAATGTGGCGTGGTTGGGAGGTGGTTGGATGCGGGAGGTGCGCACGGACCTCGTAGACCTTGTGCTGGTTGATGTTGTTGAAGCAGCTCTTGATGTCCATGCTTACGAAGTAGAGCCGCGGCAGCTTTTTCCGCTTTCGCTCCTGTCGGAGCTCATTGAGGAAGGTCGACAGGCGCACGTAGACGTCGTTGTAACTGAACACCGACGCGCCCAGCACTTCGGGGTTGTTGTCCTGCGACACATGACGCACACGACGCACACACACATGGCACCATGGTGTAAATACAAACCACAGCCATGCGAACTATGTAGAGCGGAGCACGACCGACCTTGGCATGTCTCAAGATGAAGAAGGTGGTCCTGAGTATGGTGTTGATGCTCCATTCGATCTTCTTGTTAGTTCTGTCCGCCACATAGGCTGCCGTCACTGTTGGAAAAAACAGAGGTCAGTACACTTTAAGCCATCAAAAAGCCAAGCAAGTGGGGGCCGTTCATCACCTTTGTACGACGGCGCGCGGTTTCCCGGGCGTGCTTTGGTCTCTGTGCGCGGCCAAGAGTCGAGGTGAGGAAAAAACAAATGGTCTCGGTGGGTGCGCGAGAAACAAGGGACCTTCGTTGTCGAGGACGGAGATGGCCGCGTAGTTGGTGGGCTTGCGCTTGAGGTTCACGATGGGCCGCACGCCGCCATTCTTGGGCAGGAACCGTATGAACGAGAAGCCGAGCTGGCGCTCCGGCGACACCAGCACCCGCTTCGCTTCATCCTGCACGGTCGGCAATGATTAGCGCACAACCAAGGCGAGCATGGGGGGGGGGAACAGTTCGAGGGCGCAAACACGTACCGAAGGCACCTCGGAGAACACTTGGCTCCGTCTGAACTCGGCCATCGCGAGCCGGTAGATGTGCGCCCACACGGGCTTTCGGTAGTAGAAGATCCTTTTGCTGTAGATTGGGTTGAGGTGTGTTCATTGTGTGTGTGTGTGTGTGGTGTGCATGCGTGCGTGCGACTGTGGTCTCCCCGCCTCTGTGACTCGCCACCGGTGAACGTACCCATACTGTCCGCTCTCAGTGACGTAGAAGTGGATGCGGAGCAGAGGGATAATGAGCTGCGAGTAGACCCAGCTGATGAGCCGTTGCACCATGCGCTGCTTGTCCTTGTAGTCGCGTCGCACGCCTCGCAACCACGTCATGTCCCGCAGCCGTAGCCCGGACATGGCCGAGTGGACCGAATAGCGGTCGTGGCGCCGCAGCCGTACGAACTCATCCACACCTGGTGGTGAGCGGCTGCTGTGGGTGACAGTGCGCGCGAGGGTGAGAGCAGGCGGGATGGGGAGTACTCTTGGCCAGGATGGCCACGTTGTGCTTGGAACCCCACAAGGTCGCCGGAAGCAGATAAGTGAGCACCGCCTTCACGAACGAGGCCACCTGTCGGTACGTGCAACAGTAGTTGGCGAAGAGGGTACTGTAGGAGGTGACCTGTTGAAGTCGGGCGATGGTCTCGCTCGTTCGCTGCGGCCACCACCACCACCGCAACCGGGGGAAACGAACTCGTGAGCTATGGATCGCTGGAGCGAAGTAAGGTTGAGGCGTACCCTGTGACCCTTTGCTGCTGCTTCTGCTGCTTTGGTCGGTTCGTGCTGCGAGGTGTGGTCACTTGAGTCGGCGGCACGGCGTTGTGTTGGGCAGGTCGGGGTCGGGGCCTGTTCGTCGTCGATCGACATGTCAAGGTCTGGCGGCTGAGTGGCCAACAATGAGAGGTGGTCGAGCGTCGAGTCCGCCGCCGGAGCGTCTTGCTCAACCTTCTGTCCCTCCTGCGTGTATAGCCTGCCACTACACGTCACATCAGCCACTCATGAATGCGATGGCGGCGATGACGATGATGTGGGCATACCAGACATCCAGCGGAGACGCATGCTTTGATGGGGGTTGAGCCGCCCGCTTGGTCGCTGTCGCATCATGACGAGGCTTCGTTTGAGGGGCCGTTGTGGTCGCGGTCGGCGGAGTGGGGATGGGGCAGTGGCGGTGCAGGGCGCGACTGTAGGTCTTGGTCTTCTTCGTCTTCTCGTGGCGTCGAATGATGTGCATGGCCAAGGGCAGCAGCCCGCGGAGCGACTTAGGCAAATGAACGTTTTTCATCTTCTTAAGCTTGTGCGTCTGATACGACCGCACACGCGCCACCGCACACGCACCACCACACGCGCAACTGGTCTAAGCAACTTGGGAGGTAAGAGAAGAGATCGCTGGGGGTACCGGTAACAGGCCTGAATCGGAGCGTCGCAGCTGCGGCTGCACTGTCGGCGGGGCGACGGGATCGTAGGTGGCCTTGTCCACGAACATTTCACGCAGCAGTCGCCGGGCGCCCATCTTGGTGCACTTGATGCGGTTCAGCGTGTCTACATGTAAATAAACGAGGTCAGTCGGAACCAGAGAGGGCACATGACGCGATGAGCGACGTACGCTTCGGCGGAAGCCCGAAGTAGCTCGTGGATGGGTTGGCGTAAAAGATGCGAGATCGGGGAACGTAGAACTCTTCGGCGCTGGCCGCTTTTTGCCTTACGGTCGGCATCTTCTTTTTCGACTTGCTCTTCTTTTCCTTCTTCGTTTTCGTTCTCTTTGGTGCTTTCGTGGTCTTCGTCTTCTCTTTCCTGTTTCCTTCGTCTATCGTGTCCGTCGTCGGTACGTCCCCTTGACGTTGCAGCTTCGCGTACACCGCCTTCTTTGTACCGCGTGGCACTTGACTCGGAGTCAGCGTCGGTGGCGGTGCTGGAGGTGTTGGCCGTTTCGGCGGCGTTGGTGCTGGTGCTGGTGCTGGTGCCGGTGCCGGTGCCGGTGCGGCTGCTTCGACGATGGTCTCCCGCGTGGTCGTCCCCACAGCCAGCCTTGAGGCCGCTTCGAACTCCTCCCTTTCCGCTTGCCGCCACTGGTCGTTCATCAGTGGGTCGTCGAGCCAAAGTGCAGCCGAGTATAGTCCCGCTTCAGCGGGTGCGTCCTCCTCCATTGGCGTGTTCTCCTCCTCCACCTCCATGTCACCCATTTCGCCCTTCACCACCCCGCCGTCTTCTTCGCCTTCCGACACCGGATCGTCGCTGTCACAGGCAAAAGCGCTGAACTGTTCGCCAGTGACTTCGCGTACGTTCTTGTCGCCTTGGCCTGCACGCGCTGCCGCTCTCTTTTCCTTGCGCCGTCGCCACATGCTCAGTCGAGGTTCCTTTCCCTTCTTCGTCTTTTTCAGCCCCGCCGCCGGGTGGTTTGCGTTCTTGTCCTCCGCGCTCATCTTTCGCCGTTCGTCCTCTTCCGCTTTGGCCATCTTTTTCCGCTCCTTCCTCTTCGCCCTGTCTCGCTTCCTGTGCTTCTTCACTTTGGCTTGCCTCTTCTCCTCTGCGCTGAGCTCTTTGTTCTCTTTCTTTTCTATATCGCCACGTGCTTTCTTGCTCTCCTGCTGTCTCTGCGTCGCTTCGTTCTTCTCTTCGTTCTTCTCTTCTTTGCTGTGGGTTGGCGCGGGGAGAGGCATGACCGACCAGCCCTGGCCTCCGTGTTCCGCCTTGGTGTTGGTGGTGGCAGCGGCGTGGTTCAGCTTTCGTCGCTTGTGCGGTCGTCGTTGGGATCCGCGCTTGCCGTGGGCCGATAGCAGATCGAAGATCTCGATCTTTCTGCGCCGGCGGTGAGCGCGGGAGGCGTAGGAGGGCAGGGTCAGGTAGCGATCCTTGCGCGACCACAGCTCCTGCTGCTGCAGCTCGCTGCCCTCCTCCATCATCGACCCCGAGCCGGAGAGCCACAGCGACGGGCCGGTGATCTGCATGTAGCAGTTGTGGGGCAGTGGTAAGAACATGAACGTGTGCATTAGCAGGTACGCCATCAGCTCATCGCCGATCCTCGAGAGCAACGCTTGCCTGGCACCGGTAGACGCACAAGAGTCGTCAGAAAATTTCTCCGGGTGTGAGTATGTTGGAGAATGTATGCAGTAAAGGTGTACCAGGTGGGCGTTTTGATGATGTTGACGATCATGTTGGGATAATAGATCTCCACACCCCACACGTTCATGAGCCCATGACCCTGGACATTCGGGTTTGAAGGTTGCCTCGAGCCAGTCAGTTACACGCACCCGCACATAGAAGAGAACGAGAATGTAAGAGCTCTGGCATCATCGGTGACCGCACCTTGCGATAGCCTTTGGCCAGGAGATGGCGAGACTCCGCCCTGCACAGGGTTTGTACAACGCTGCAGAGTGCGAGCCGAGTGTAAGCACGTGCGTGTGCTGAGGTTCACCGTTTTGTGGTACCGTACCGAAGCACGATGTCTTCAATTCTGAATCTGGACTCCATCGACGGCGCCACGGGCAGCGGTGGAGCGTTGGCTGGCACCGCCACGACGGCCCTGATGAGCACACGCGAATCAATAAAGTACTTGCGCTGGCGGATAAAGGGCGGAAGGAAGAGTACTTGGTCACAAGGTTGCGATAGGCCGGCGTGTCGGTGGCCAGAAGGAAGGGCCGAGCGCCCGCCTGGTCCTTGAACCGCAGCAGAAACTGGTGCAGCGTCTGGCATGATGGGAAGACGCTCTGGAGCACGTCGTGCCGCACTACACAGCAAAATATATAATTTTATATTTAAAAAATAATAAGTATAAAATATATATTTAATTCACATTCAACGGGTGGCACCTCGGTTTGATCTCTTCTTCTTTCGCCTTTGGTTGGCACTGTTGCGCGTGCTGTTTGTATTGTTGCTGCTCGAGGAAGATGAGGAGGATTGATCCAGCCTTGGAGGCTTTGCAGCCTGCGCAGCTTGGTCCACTCGCTTCCTCTTGTGCTTGGGCAGTGCCGCGGCAGGGCGCCCCTCACACTTACCCTCCTCATCGGGCGGCCTCTTCCTCTTCCGCTCCATGTTTTATTTCTTTATTTACCATTTTATCACGTTTTCTTTATTTCTTTATATGTTTCATTTTATTTTATTTTTGTGTGCAGTGCTCTGGTAAAACTTGACGAAAGGCAGACGATCAGAGGCTCTGGTGTCACATCAGGACGTGATGCTTTGAAACAAAAAGGAGAGATGGAGGCACAGCGCAGGTTCCTGGAGGAGGCGAAGCTCTCGCAGGTGGTGGAGAACAAGCCCGCCTTGGTGTGGGTGGAGCCCTCCACCACCGTCGCCAGCGTGTGCGACGAGCTGAGGCTGCACAACATCCTCTCCCTTCCTGTATACAGCAAAGAGGTACCCTCAACCACCCACGGCGTAGTAGAGGTCGCTTGAAGCTGATGACATTCCCACCCAGACGAATGAGTTTGTGGGGATCGCCAACGTGGCCGACATTGCGTTGTTCATCGCCTGGGGCAGCGTCGACCTGGTGCGCAAGCAAAAGGAGGACAAGCCCCAGATGAGCGAGATGGAGCTCGTGCCGAGGCTCAAGTTTGCCGACCGCCCCATCGTGGAAATCTTCATATCAGGCACACACTCGCACACACAAGGCTCGTGCAGCTGAACCATCAAAAAAACTCATCACTTTCCACCATCATTGACAGACGAGACGAGTTTCTTCTGCATCTTCGACGCCAGCGACTCCGTGTACAGTGTGCTGGAGCCCTTGTCCAAAGGCTACCACAGGTAGACTCCTGCTCCGTTGAGCTCTACTTTGGGCTGACTGACCACTTAACTTGACGGGTGAAGGGCGTTGGTGAGGCTCACACCGCAGGCCAGTAAGCCTGAGGACTACCGCTTGCTCACGCAGACCGACATCGTGCGGTTCCTGTTCGCCAACCGCGACAAGCTGGACCAGGCGCTCTTGTCGCAGACAGTTGCGCAGGCTGGGCTCGTGCAGGGCAGGAAGAACATGTTGTGCGTCAGCGAAGACGAAGCGCTCAACGTGCTCCAGGCCTTCCGGCGAATGACTCAACGGGACATGAACTGCATTGGTACCACAGCATAACTTTACAGTCATCTCCCTGGGGATCACCTGATGAACATTCTCCCTAGGGATTTGTGACAAGAGTGGCCGTCTGGTGTGCAACCTGTCCGCATCGGACCTGCGCGGCATGGCACCCGATCGGTTGAAGATGCTCCTTCTTCCTGTGCGCGACTATCTGACCGGTATGATGAACACTCATCTTCTGGGTGCGCCTGAGCTCACTTGTACACAACAACAGCCATGTACGGCGAGACGCTTTGCCACAAGCTCTACCCAATTACCTGTGCCCCCGACGCAAAGCTGGCCGATGTAATGGGTGCGTTTCACGCCGTTGCATGCAAGTTGATGTACCATTCAACTCATCTCCCTTCACACTCGCAGAGAGCGTGCTGGCTCACAAAGTGCACCGCGTGTGGGTCGTCGACGAGACCGAACAGCCGGTGGGTCTCGTCTCACTGTCGGATATCATCTGCAAGTTCTCCCCTTACGACTACAAGGCCAGCAACACCGCACCGGCCACCATTACCAGCCTGCACTAACCTCGTGGTCACGGTGCAAGACGGCCAGAAGAAATGAATTAAATTTGTCCTGTATTTTCTTTTGCTGGGATAAGATCAAATCCGGACTGTTTTGATCTTGAGCAATCGATGGAGGGCGCCGATAATTTCTTGCCGGATGACAACGTACGAGAGTACATTCGAAAGAGGAAGCGGAAGAACCAGTCAGTGTCGGTGACGCACTTACGGAAGGTCCTTAACATTGGCTACAAGAAGGCCAAACGAATCTACGATGAGTTTGAATCGGATAAGCCGGCCAGCAAGCCTCGATCAAAGTCCAAAGCGAAGGCAGATAAGAACCGGGAGGAGGTGGAGGACAGCAGCGACGCAGTGCAGGAGGAAACGGAGTCAAGTGAAGATGACGGCGCTGAGGGAGCAAGGCCGGTGACCTACCAGAACGTGGAAACCGACGAGGAAGAAGAAAATGGCGATCTCGATTCATTCACACTATCCAACTGCCTTCTGAAAGCTGCTCACTTTGCGGCCACAAAGCATCGATTACAGAAACGAAAGGATGACGACGGTATATGGCCTCCCTCCACGGATTATGCTAATGGCTTTTTGATTGTCGCGATGAGGATCAAAGAGATCTCAGATCATCCTTTGTCGCGCGTGCATGCCCAATGACAGGCACGCCCTATATCAACCATCCTCTTGGCGTGGCCTGGTCGCTGTCGGAAGAGGGAGGAGTCAAAGACGTCGAGACCCTGCAGGCAGCTATGCTCCATGAGTACCTCCATCCTGATCCTCCTTGCATTCCTGCTCCTCCTAACTTTACCATTTGTTCTTCCCTCAGCACTGTGGAGGACACCGACACGACGTTTGAAGAACTGGAGCGGGAGTTTGGCATCAAGGTGGCGGCCATCGTGCGTGAGGTCACCGACGACAAGTCCCTCGCTAAGGACGTACGTACCTCTCTTTCACCTTCTTCTTCAACGTGTACACATACATTCTAACAGTGCAGCTGTCGTCCAGGCGCGCAAGAAACACCAGGTGAAGCACGCGCCTCACTTATCCAAGCAGGCCAAGCTGGTGAAGTTGGCCGACAAGCTCTACAACCTGCGTGATCTTCTCCGCGCCCCCGTGCCTGGTTGGTATGTCTCCTGGAAGCTGAAGCAACTTGCCTTGCCTGCATCACGTTTTGAAATGCACTCGTTAGTGGAAGACTGATTGTCGCGTGCTTGTCTGCCGATCGCAGGAGTGCCACACGAGTGCAAGGTTATTTCGTGTGGGCGAACGCAGTTGTTCAGGGCATTCGGTATGCTCACACTCTCTCCACACCACACACACTACACCTTTACCTTTGATGCTGATTGGGCGGTCGGTCAACAGAGGCACGAACATAGGGCTTGAGGAGAAGTTGGACGAAGTGTTTGCCTCCAAGTTCAAGATCCGAGGCAAGACCTACGCCGCCCTGGTGCCCGAGAACCAACGATCGTCCCTACTTGCCAAGTACTACGCCGACATGGCCGTGGCCAAGGGCCAGTAGGGCCACCACCACTGGTCCAGCTGTATGAAGCCCTCCCTCCCCTTGTAGAGAACACAACACCAATTTATTAATATTTATTCTGCGATCACATTTCCCTTCGCATTTCCTTTGCTCTACCGCGGACGCCGAAAGCGACATGTCGCCGATGCCAAGGGCTGTTCGGGTGACCTGCACCACTTGTACACTTCGATAAACCCGCACAGCCAGTTCGTTACTCCTCGCTTCATTCGCCTTATAAAAAAATGGCCACTTCGACTCGGCTTCGCGCCCTACTGCCGCACATGAAACACCCCATCGTCGCGGCCCCCATGGCCTTCGTTTCCGGCGCCGACCTGGCCGTCGCCGTCTCCCGTGCCCATGGCCTTGGCTTCATCGCTGGGGGTAAGCCCCACCACAAACCCTCTCTTTTCCACACATAACACCACACGCACTCACCACACCGCACGACGCAAATGAAGGATACGACTTGCCCAAGCTCGACGCAGAGCTGCACCGGGCTCGCTCCCTCTTGGGCGCCCCCGAGGGCCAGTCTCTGCCGATCGGTGTAGGGCTGTTCGCGTGGACGTCGGCCGCCGACCCTTCCCAGGCCCGCCAGCTGCTGAGCACCATCCTCACCCACCGCCCGTGCGCTCTGTGGCTGTTCGCCCCGGCCGTCCCCGGTGCCGACGGCTTCCGCCACTGGGTCGACGCCATCCACCAGTCATCGTCGGCCTCCTCTTCTTCGTCATCATTGTCACCGCAGCGGCCGGTGGTATTTGCCCAGGTGGCCAGCGTGCGTGAGGCCCTGGACGCGGCGGAAGCCGGGGTCGACGTGGTGGTGGCCCAGGGCGCCGACGCCGGCGGCCACGGGTCCAAGGCAGGCGCGGGCCTCATTTCGCTGGTGCCCGAGGTCCGCGACGCACTGCCGCCCGCCCTGCCGCTGCTCGCCGCCGGCGGGGTGATGGACGGCCGCGGCCTCGCCGCGGTATTGGCCCTAGGCGCCGACGGCGCGGCCCTGGGCACCCGGTTCCTGGCGTCACGCGAGGCCGCCGTGCAACCCGGCCTGCAGCGTGCCATCATCGAGGCCAGCGACGGCGGCCAGTCGACCGTGCGCACGCGGCTGTTCGACGAGATGCGCGGCACCACGAGCTGGCCGCCGGCCTACGACGGCCGCGCGCTTCGCAACGACACGGTGGCCGACTGGGAGCGCAGCGACGGCAGCGAGGCAGCGAGGGACGAGCTGCGGGCGGCCTACAGGCGGGCGGCGGACGCTGGCGACTACCGGCGGCTGGTGGTGTGGGCCGGCACGGGCGTAGGCCTGGCGCGGAAAGTCCAGCCCGCGGGCGAGATCGTTGCGGAGCTCGTGCGCGAGTGTGACCAAGTGGTTGGCCAGCTGCGCGAGCGGGTCGTAGGAATGTGATGGATGAACATACAAGCCCAACACCACAGAAAAGCCACCAACGGCGATTCATAAAAGGTCAAGGCAAATATTACCCGGATTGGCTGCCGTCCTGGTCAGTGGCACGTGGTGTTTGGCCACTTCGTCGCCGGCAGTTTCTGTCACCTCGCACAACGAGCAAAGAGAATGGAGCTGCGGTGGTGGGCTCTGCTGGCCTGTGTTTGTGCAGCTGTTGGCATCGCACACGCTCAGGTGGCTCCTTACTACGTCAGTACGGTGCCCCCTTCTTTTATTTTTATTCTTATTTAAAATAAAATAGAAACAATATTTTGCACAATATAGGATTAATTATACTTTATTATGTCGAACAATATTTATTGAATATGCCGAAAATAATTTTTAATTGCGTGCAGGCTATCAGATACACAGTTGGGATGACCTGGACGAGTGGCACCAGGCTCTGCGCAAGTCGCACGGCCTCTCCGGCGACAAGTGGTTCAAGATAGACCCGCACTTCATGCCGCCAGGTGCGCACCACCTGCCTGTGCTGACTCTTTGATGAAGTCGCAGAAGCTTCGTTTCCTCACTCACTCCGCCACCACCAGAGTTCTGCGCGTCGCAGTCGCGCGTGCCGCACGGCGACAGCAGGGGCTGCTTCGTGCTGTCCCACGACACACCCAGCGCGCAGGCGCAGTACAACTCCACACAGGACGTCGCGCTAATGCTTCAGGACCCCACTTTCCTGCCCTTCTTCACACAGGACCAGCGGTACCCGCGTGTGTGTGCGTGTGCGTGTGCGTGTGCGTGTGCACGGTGGTGCGTGTGTGCGGTGGTGCGTGCGGACATTGATCGGCTGTGTGTGGCGATGCAGAGTCTACATCGCGCTCTGCTTCAAGAACGCACCGACGATGTGCGACAACTCGACGGTGGCCCAAGCGTGGCTGTCCCTGGTCGACGAGTTCATGGCGCACCTGGCCAGCACCGTCCACAAGTACCGCCTCAACGTCGAGTTCGTACTCGACGGCGACGCCGCGCCCCTGCTCGAGAGGCCGTGCCTGTGGCAGCGGTGGCGCCCGCTCGCCTCAACCTGGATCGATCTGCCCTGGGAGGCGCTGTTCTACGCCAACCCCGAATTCGCCTACGACCGGTAAGCCCACTCCCACATGCACCACTCGACTATCACTCAATCGTTGGTTGGTGTGTGTGTGTGTGTGTGTGTCGTGTGTGTGTGTGTGTGTGTTGTGTTGGTGGGTATGTGGTGCGCAGGTTTCAGGTGCTGAACCTGCCGGTGTCGCCAATCTACGAGCCGGGGATCAACTTCGACGTGCTGTCCTACGTAGGCTACGGTCGCTTCGCCGCCAGCAAGTACCCCTTTCTCTGCTGGGAGCCCTCCGATCAGGCCATCCTCACCTCCGTACGCACTCTCAACCGCACGACACGCACCACCGCACACGACACACAACATGCGCACATGACACGACGCACGGTAAGCGCAAAGCGCTCATGAATGGGCGGCGCGTGAAGGTGGTGAACACGTACATAGGGGGCAAGATCATCCGCCCCGAGGGATTCCGCTTCGCCATCAACATCGACCCGGTGCAGTTCCTCGTCTACTCCTCGCCCTTCAGCCGAACGGCGCTCAACCACCCCTTGCCCCGCTCCAACAGGTGCCGCCTCCCTCCCAGCCTCCATGCATCGTCCAACTTCGTAAATGTGGGGGCGGAGGCATTGACGCCAACAATCGTCCTGTGCGGCAGCGCTTTGGCTCTGACGCCGCCCGAGGCTCCGCGTGTCGTCGACGCAAACCCGCACATAGTGGCCATTCCCTCTGCTTCTGGTATTGACACAACACACACGCCACACACACGCCACACACGCCACACACACGCCACACACACACACACACACGCACAAGCACAAACCGCCGCACACGCACAGCTGATTCTCGGAAGCAGGTGATGTTGGCTTCCACTCGCTCGTGTTCTCGGAGACTGCGCTGGGTCAGAGCTACCAGCTGTTCAGCCACCCGGCGGCGTTCGCCGAGCCCCGGCTGCGCGCCGAGGGGCGCCTCCCCTCGGGGCTCCTTGGGCCGGCCCTCGCCTCCGCTTCCTCCGCCGCCGCTGCCTCGGCTGCCAACGCATCGGCGCTGGTCCTGGTCGCCGACGCGGCCGACCGGTTCGCCTTCTTCGCGGCCTCCGTCGGCTCGCCGACGCTGGGCCTCCTCGCCAACGGCAGCTTCGCCGCGAATGGAAGCACCACCACCTTCGCGGCGGCCCTCGCCCCGCTCGGGGGACAGTCGACGACGTTCATCGTCGCGCGGGCCTACGCGTCGAGCGCGTGTGCGCTGGGGCTCGAGGCGCTGGTGGCTGACAGCTCGCGGCTGGACCACCTGAAGCCCTACGGGTCCGGCGTGTGCGTGGTCGGGCGCGGGGCGGTCACCTCGGCCAGCGTGGCCGTGCTACCGGCCAACGCCACTTCCGCTTCTTACTGCGGCGCGGCCGCCGTTGCAGTCGGGGTGCTCGCCTTCGCCACGGCCGACAAACAAATCTCGCACGCCGCCCTGTGCCTCTCGTCAGGTCCGCCATCTCCACCTCTTCGTTCTTTTCTTCCCCCCCCCCAATTCGCTCTTCGTTCTTTGCTGTCGTGTGTGTTGACTCCTCCGGCAGGCGGTAGGTTGGCTATTGTGGGGCCGGTGGTCGTGGACGTGGGCAGCTCACCGTCCGTCTCGCTCGGGCTCCAGAACGGTCGCCCAGTCGTGTACGCCAAACCCATTTTTTTGCGTGTGCGTGTGTGCGTGTGCGGTGTGCGCGTGTGCGGCACACAATGACAATAATTGGGTTTAACTAATAGGCTGGAGGTGCACGGGGAGGGCTACTGCTACAACTCCGAGACCAAGAACAAACGGCCCTTCCCGCGCGTATGCGCCTCGACGCCCTCCTCGACGCCGCTCACGCTCGTCTACAACTACGGCACCCTCGACGCCTGGTTCGCGCACCTCGTGGCCCAAAAGTACACACCAGCCCACAATCTTGTGTGTGTCGTGTGCCGCGTGTGCCGCGTGTGCTGCGTGCCAACCAGGTGTGGTGACCACCACCAGGGCGGGCTCTGTGGCCTGGATCACCAGCTGCGACCGAGGGATCACCCACGGGGTCTACGACATGGGCTCATCGCCCTCCGCCACCCTCTTCAACTCGGGTAAGTACGCCGCACCACGCGCACACGCAAATGAATTACATGTTGACAATTGAATAATGATTGGTCGCTGTCGCAGGGCCGCTGCTGGGGCTGGTCGAGGTGCACGAGGGCCTGGCGGCGGACGTCACCAGCGAGTGCGGCGCCGCGGTGGCCCAAGATGGGCTGCTCGTCATGGACGCCTGGCCGGCCTTCCCGCTCTAGTCGGGCCGGACCCCGCCGCCGCCGCTGTCGGCCGCCACCGAGAGGGCCTGGACGAGGGCGCAGAGGTGGGCGTTGAGGCCGGTGGCGACGCCCAGCCGGCGGCCCTCGCGTGCGATGTGGCCGTTGATGAACTCGATCTCGGTGGGCCGCCGGCGCTCCACGTCGCGAAGCATGGACGACCGGTTGTGTGCGGTGGCGGTCGCCACCTGCTGCACGTAGCCAAACACGCGCCGACGCACCTCGTCCCACGCTTGCGCCTCGTCTCCCTTCCCCTCTGTCCACACACGCGCGGGCGACTCAGCCGTGCGTGTCGTGTGCTGTGCGTGTCGTGCCGTGTCGTACAGCGTGGTGTGTGCGGTACCGAAAAGGGTGGGTAGGTGGACTTGGCTGGCGCGGGCGACGGCGACGCCTTCGTCGACCACTTCGGCGGCGAGGGCGAGCAGGTGCGGGTTGGTCAACAGCTGCCCGTTGGGGATGCGGAAGAGGGCGGTGAGCGGGTTGATCGCGGCGTTGACCATCAGCTTCATCCACGCCCGCTTGTCGATGTCCTCCGTCACCGCCACCTCCAGTCCCGCCTGCACCTCAACACATCAACCATTGTTCGTCACGACACACGACACACACACACCACACACCACACACGCACACGACCGCACACTACACTACACTACACGCGTACCTGCGCCAGACGGTCTCGCATGTGGTTCATCAGGCGGTGCTGCGGCAAGAACGTGTTGCCCGTCCCGGTGTGCCTGACCTCGCCTGCCACACATAAAGAACAGTAATTATCATTGATTTATTATAATTATGTTATAATTAATTACTATTATTTAATATTTATCTCATGAATTAGGTACCGGGCTGGGTCAGGAGGGCGCCGACGTCGGTGATGCCCTGCAGCACGACCGGGACCGCGCCTGGGCCACTCCCGGTCTGGGTCGGCTGCAGGCTCGCCTGGAGGACCTCGCGGTTGCCCATCCCGTTCTGAAGGGTGAGGACCACGCCGCCGTCGGGGCGCACCAGCCCCGCGAGCGGGATGCTGTGGGCGGTGGCCCGCGTGTCGTAGCTCTTGGTGAGGAACACCAGCACGTCGGCCTCCCGGGCCTGGGCCTTCACCTGGGCCGCGTCCGCGAATGCTTCGATCTTGTGCGTCGCTCGCGTCTCCTCCTGCCACACGCGCGCGAGTGCCTGAGCACTCACCCCATATGACACACACACCACACACACGGCACACACCTGATGTCGTGTGGCGTCGACCAGGCGTAGGCCGCCCGCCCGCTGGATGGCGTCCCGCTGGGCCTCCGATCGCACCAAAGCCCACACATCGCACCCTGGTGCCAGGGTGGTGAGGGGCTGGCGGTGAAAGAGGGAGGGGCTGGAGCAGAGTTGAGGTACCGGCAGAGGCGAGCTTGGCGGCGAAGAGAGAGCCGAGGGCACCCAGCCCCACCACCCCCACCCGGAGCTTCTGTGCCGCCGGGCCCCCGCCGTACGACCGCCGCTGGTGCTGCATAAAGAAAGATAAATATAAATATATTTATTCAAAAAGAATTGCCTAGGCGAGGTAAAAGAAATATATAGTTTTTCTCTTTATTTTTAATCCCTATTTTGATATTCCTGAAAAGGCCATTTTGTTGCGTATTTGGTACAGCGGAAGGAAAGAGCACTCTATGACGAAGAAGAAGGTGAGGAGGAGAGGCTGCGGAGGGTGGACGTTGACTGCTGTCGCTCGGTCGTCGGCGAGGCGGGAACGGGCGAGGCCGGCGTCCAGGCTGGGCTGCCGCTGGGGCTCGGAGTCGTGGCGAGCGAGGCGCCGCCGTCGCCGGCGACGCTGGAATTGGTGAAGGTGCGCAGGCGAACGGCGGGCGAGACGGAGATGCGGTTGGCCATGGCGTTGGTGATGTCCCGCATCCACTCCATCTTCTCCTCGAACTCGGGGCACGAGAAGCGGAGGCTGACCGTGCTCCCCTTCTCCGTCGTCGCCACAATCTCGAACGTCGAGTCCGACCCTGCACACACGCACCACCGCACACGCCACCGTACACGCAGGTAAGGGAGCGCACACGCACACGCGCAGTGATGAGGGCGTACCCTTGAGTTCGGCCACGTCCTGGAGCTGGATGTCCTTGGTGAAGAGCAGGCGCTTGTAGCTGTAGCCCTCCTTCTTCTTCTTGGCCACCAGCAGGAGGTCGTTGAACAGGAAGCAGAACCTACGTCGCACAGCAGCCCGGCGGCAGCAGCAGAAGAGTTGATTAAACCACCAGAACTGATGGGTGTTGTCGCGCTGACGCTCGGGGCCTGGCTCCGTACCTTGCCCTGGCCTTCTTATCGTTGCCGGTGAGCAGCGAGAGCTTGCCCTCGCGCACGAACCGGCGATGAGGAGCAAACAGTTTCTGTGTTGCGTGTGCGTGTGCGTGTGCGTGTGCATGTGCATGTGCATGTGCGTGTGCATGTGCGTGTGCGTGTGCGTGTGCGTGTGCGTGTGCGTGTGCGTGTGCGTGTGCGTGTGCGTGTGCGTGTGCGGTAATAGGAAAGCGTTGAGCCCTCAAACGCGCGACGCGAAAGAAGACAAATAACTAAAGAAAGACGATAGAGCGGATGGACGTGCCACAGGCAGCTTGCCGCTGATGGACTGCTGGATGGTGAGCACCTTGGTGCTGTTCTCCACCTCTCTCTTGTAGTCGTTGACCTTATCGGCCAGCTGCTTCACCTTGGCCAGACTCTGTAATCCATGCGCGCGCGAGCACGTGGTGAGTCTTGGCGAAGAAGCACACACGACGACACACGCCACACAGCACATGACACACGGCGGGCAGCTGGACCTCCAGCGTGGGTTGGAAGTCGGGGTGAGTCGTGGGCGTGGACCGGGCCAGCTCCTAAAAGAACAGGCCTGTGTGAGCGCAACGCGCGCTGACGGTGGGAACGGGCAAGAGCAGGGGGGGAGGGAGGCGTACCTGGAGCAGCATGACGTATCGGGGGATGCGCTGGATGGGAATGATGAGGAGGTCGGTGAGGACGAGCCCGCGGGCGTCCTTCAGCCGCTTGGCATTCTGCAGGGGCGGTAGTGGAGGGAGGACCAGCGTGTGTCAACCCACACAGTGACGATGTGGCGGTGTGGTGCGGCGAGAGGTGAGGGGGTGTTTGTCACGAACGTTTTGGAAGGCGACGAAGGCCGAGTTGGTCATGTATCGATCGATGGTGTCCATGGCGTTGGTGTAGCTGCTGATGTACGGGTTGTAGGCCTTCAGGTACACGGTCTGTGGGGCGCCAATGTGGTCACCAACATAACATAACATCAGTTGCACGAATCGAAGCAGGCCACGCAACGGGAGCCAGGGGTGAAGGCGAAGGCCAAGGCAAAGGCAAAGATGAAGATGATGATAAAACGTTACCATCTCGGAGAAGATGTCGGCCAACGTTTGGGCATCGCTCCACTGGGCAACGCGCTGCTCCAACGTCTGGCATGCAGACGAGTTAGCCAAGCCAAGCGTGAGTAGGAGCGGTGCGTGCTGCAGCAGAAACTGCACAAAGAATTGTGCACACATACCTTGAGCAGGGCAGAGTTGTACTGGTAGATCACTTCAATGCCGCCAAAGATGTTCTTAATGTCGGCGGGCGTGATGATCTCCTTCTTGTTGTCGACCGCGAGTCTCAGCGGGTTGAGGTATTGCTGCGCGGGCATGCCCACCCACACGTTAATCAGCCATCACCGCTCGCCCGCGGACTACCGATAGGGCGCCCTGCCAACAACTGCGTAACGTACCTGCACGATGAGCCCGAGCTGGTAGACGTACGAACGCTCCGTCTCTACCAGCTCCTGGGCCACTCGAGCGCGCTTGGCCAGCTTTTGCTCTGGGTTTGGTTTGGTTTGGTTTGGTTTGGTTTGGTTTGGTTTGGTTTGGTTTGGTTTGGTTTGGTTTGGTTTGGTTTGGTTTGGTTTGGTTTGGTTTGGCAAAATCTTGGGGCAAAGAGAGGGGTACGCACTGACTTCCTCCTCCGTCTCCACAGACTTTGGGGTGAACTGCTTCTGCAGATTCTCGAGCATGATCCTCGTCTCCGCTTCGGCCTGCGCCACCACGAGCCGACAAACGATCACAGTTTATACAGGTCGCAGAGAAAAAATGTTCTCTCTTCTCTCTCCCTCTCTCTTATCTCTTCTCTCTCTCTCTCTCTCACGCACACGCACACGCACACGCACACGCACACGCACACGCTACCTTATTGACACTCTCGGCCACGGAGGAGTACTTGGTGATGGCTTCCGCCTCCTTGGCGTCGCTCGACTCCTTAGACTCGGAGCGAGCCGAGCCCATGCGCTTTCTGTTGGATCCGCCCATGATGCTGATCCTGCGCAGAGAGCAACGCAAGTCAGCTCACGAGTTCCTCAAAGTAGAGCGGTGCGCACAAAGGCGCGTAGTACGCACCTTGTCGCGGAACTCGTCCTTCGTGAGGCCAACCGTCTGCCGCCGGACCTTGGCCAACTTGCTCTTGGCCTTTTCCGCTTGCTTCGTGTCCTTGACACCTAAACGCGAGGGAAAGTGCCACGGTTGGGGGAGGGTCGCACACAGCCGCTCGCTGCATTCTCGACACTCGCGCCCACCACCTCACACACGCACGCACGCGCGGGACTTGATGATGTACCTTCATTTGAAAGTGCCCGCGAATGTCGCTTGTCCGCTCGGCTGCGCGTAGTGAGCGGTTGAGTATATTCAACCGGCATGCAGGACACAGAAGAGAGGAAGGGGGGGGAAGACTACTCTACCTTACGGGCTGCTGCACGGCAGCAAGGAGGAAGTAGCCCGCGGCTCCCACCGCGCTCTCGTCGCGCCGAAGCTTGCCCGCACACCAGAGCGTGTTCACCTGTTCCACGACCTCGATCACGTCACCCTGTGCGCGCACATATATGTACGGGTCAGTTCTCTCCGACACACCAACGGACGGTGTTGCGTGGGTGCGCGCCGTGTGTGGTGTGTGTTCCTAACCTTCATGAAGGCCAGCTCGGCTTCGTGCAAGTCGGCGCCTTGGTTGTCCATGAGCGCGGTGACGAGGTCGCCCTTCTTGAGGACCGGCTTGCGCGGCTCCTTCCTGGGCTCCTTCTCCTTGCCCGGCTTGACGCCCGAGCCCGAGGCGCTTTCGCCGTCGGAGCTCGACTCATCGTCGCTGCTGCTGAACTCGTCGTCGGTGGTCGACATCGAATGGGTCATGGCCGCCATGTTGTGCCGCACCTTCTGCAGGGCGTCGTGGATGGCCTTCTTCGCAACCTTGAATTCGCCTGCAGTCCGCGAAACATCAGGCGTGTGGTTGTGTCGTGTGTCGTGTGTGGTGTGTGTGTGTGTTACTTCGCGTGCGACTGGTGCGTACCGATCTCATCGGACGATTTGCCTTCGGCCTCCTTGACCTGGGCAGCAGCTGCGCTGAGCTGTTCGCGCAGCTCCTGGAGCTCCTTCTGGAAGCCGGCCGTGACGCGCTCCTCGTCGGCTTGCTTGGTGGCCAGCCACCGCTGCTCGGCGGCATCGACCGCCTCCTGCACCGCGCGGGCCACGTGTTCGTCGGAAGCGCTGGCACTCACCGGGGCAGCAGCGGCGGCGGTGGCCCTCTGCTGTTCCAGCTCTTCGTCGCGCTGCTTGAGCGTGAGCTCGAGCTGCCCGTTGCGCTCGTCCTTCTGCCGAATGACGTCATCGCGCTCTCGCACTTCGCTCTCCCGTTGCTGTCGCTCGTCGTCGGCGCGCTTCAGCGCCTCCTCCCTCTCGCGCGTCAGCGCCGCGATGCGCTCGCGGGCTTGCTCGGCCTCGGCCGACTCCTTCTGCCGCGCCTCCTCCAGCGCCTTCGCCGTTCGCTCCTTGTCCTCTTCGCTGGCGCGCTTGGCCGCCTCGGCCTCGTCAGCCCGCCGCTGCAGTTGCTGCCGCTCGGCCTCGGCGCGCTGGTGCTCCTGCTCCGCGCTAGCGCTGAACTCGTCGCGCGCTGCCTGCACGCGCGCCAGCTCGTCAATCTTCTCTCGGAGCTGGTCCTCTGCGCGCTGCTTGGCTCCCTCGGCCTCCACGAGCGCGCGGGCGTGCTGCTCCGCGGCCTCGGCCGCCAGTCGCCCGCTGTCGTCGAGCTGCGCCTGCAGCTGCTGCGCCTCGCCGTTCCTCTCCTGCGAATGGCGCTCGATCTGCTCCTCGAGTCCACGGATGACCAAGCGCAGCTCCTCCACCTGGTCCGCGGCGCGCTTGGCCGCCTCCTCTTCGCTCGCTCGCCGCTGGCTCTCCTTCTCTTCGGTTTCGGCGCGCAGCGCGGCGAGAGCGGCATCGGCCTCCTGCTTGCCCTCCACGGCACTCTTAACTGCGCTGGTCGCCTCTTCGGCTTCCCGTCGCGCCTGGTCGAGCTTCGCCTCCTGCTCCCTCCGCACGCTCTCCAGCTCGCCCTGAGCTTCTCCGCCTCCTGCGCGGCCGCCTCCAGCTCCTCGCTCCTCGCGCGAACCGCCGCGTCCGCTGCCTGCTTCTCTTCGCGGAGCTGCGCGAGCTCGGCTTGCGA